ATAGACTAAACCCAATAGAAAGTCGGCCATTTTTAATTTAATAGTAATGTTTGGGGGTGGCGCAGTGGTCAGCACTGTCGCCTCACAGCAAGAAGGCCTTTCTGTGTGCAATTTGCATGTTCTCCCCGTGTCCACGTGGGTTCTCTTCGGGTACTCCGGCTTCCTCCGGAGGCTAGGTGAATTAGTGTCTCAATTGTCCTTAGGTGTGAGTGTGAGTGGTTGTTTGTCTGTGTGTGGCCCTGCGATGGACTGGCGACCTGTCCAGGGTGTACCCCGATGTAAGCTGGGATTGGCTCCAGCCCTCCGCGACCCTGTACACAGGATAAGCGGTTGACGATGGATGAAAGTTAATGTTTGGTGTTTTACACGGTCTGTACTTTAACAAACTCCTCCTAGGGAGTTTGTCCAATCAACTTCAAATTTTCGCTGTTAAGTCTAAAGGCATTGATGATGAAAGGTTGCGCTATCCGTGAGTTTTCGTCAAAGGGTGTGTCTGTAGTGTGGCGTTGAAAATCAAGGATTAGCCATGAAACAGGAAGTTGATGTAACTTCACTGTACATGCATACATCACACCCTGAACACATCTACAGGCTAATTCTCAATCATAGCGCCACCTAATGGTCACAGAAAGGTAAGCTTCAATGAAGTAGCACTGTTTTGCCTAAATGCACAAGACTTTTTTGCACACGAGGCGCACAAAAAAACCTCATGGAGTTAAACTATAAAACCCAACAGGAAGTTTGCCATTTTGATTTGAAAGCGCAATCTTAGGCAATTTTTGCTGTCTCCATACTTTAACAAACTCCTCCATATAATCCGATCGACTTCAACTTTAATGTGCATTCCCAGGCCATTGACAATGAAATGTTCTGCAATAAGTTTTCATTGAAGGGCATGATCTATATCAAACTTTACATGCTTGATAAGCGTCCCACCCTGAACACATGTACAACGCCACCTGTACAACACAACAGGAAGTAAGCCCATTGTGACAAAAATAATTTGATAAATATGACATTTTCACAGCGTGGCTCACACTTCACGTACTGGTACACAGCACATCATTATGCGGGTACAAAGCGGGTGTTCTCTAGCACCACATAGGGGACACAGGAAGTGACGTTGAACTCCTTCCTGACCAGTACAAAAGTTGTGATACCTCAGAGCCATGTCTCCCGACCACACTTCATGGCGCAAGGGCCCGTCCAATGCTGCTTGCAGCTGTAATTTATATTAGGATTTTTGGTCTGCTTATGACCTTGAGAAATCTCCTATGACTTTGAGGGGTTATATGCATGTAATGACGACCAGGGGATTCATTACCTGAAATAGTCAACTTAGTATCAAGGTGGGGATACTTGATAAAGCAGGGAGCCATATACATTCTTATTTTGATTATTTAATTTGTGAAACATTTGATAACTTTCTTTGCTGTGAGTAGTTCCAGAGGGGGTTGAGGAAGCACAGGGGGGTCTGGCCATCCTGCCCGTGTGAAAAGAAACCTCAATCAGTAATATTCAAGGTTCACAACATAGTATTAAGTGATTCTACTCTGTTCCAGTTAGATATCAAATTAGCTCAAGCAGATAAAACAAACAATGGTAGTAGTCACCTCTTCCTGTTTGTCTCCTCAGCAGGGGGCAGAGGCAAAAGAGTCCCAAACACCTGCTTAAGAGCTGCAGGAGCAAACCATGAAGCTGAGGGTGGGGGGAGTAAAGACCTCAACAATGCTGATTTATCACTTAATTACCTGCAGGAGGGAGTGTATATAAGGCAGCTAGTTGCTTTCAGTGTATGTTTGTTGCTCGTTGATGTTGGTGTCTCATCGTGTCTGTATGGAAGACAATAAATGCCATGTTTGTGCTTTGCATTTTACCTCTGTCTCATGTCTCTCTTGGAAAAAAACTTAATGCCACCGCCGGGCCATCGGACAATGCATGTCTCTATTCTTACCTCAATTTGATGAAGATCCGGTTATTAGTGTCCAGATTTTGTAATGTACACAATAGATACGGTTGTGACAGGAGCATACAACTGTTGTTGCACAGATGTTACTAATAACATTAAAGATGGCTCCGTTATATTCAAGTATCCTAGTAAGCCATAACAGAGAGCCAGTATGCACATGCTGGACCCTCAAAGTGAAGCAGTTAAATGGAATTCAGCAATTATGAACATTTTCATTTATACCTGTGCTTTTCCTACTTAAACATGTTAAAATGTCTTATGTGAAAAAGCCCATGGTGCCATAATTTATTTCCCTGCCACTTAGAATATCTTATTGATTTATTTAAAGACATTTCTCACAGCAGACAGTCTAACCTAGGGTATGTCACAGTATTAATGTCTGCTTTACATTCAGGTGTTTTAGGCCCTAGGCCCTACTGTACTATGCATGTCAGTTAGGGAACCTAATTAAACCATTACTGTTATTAGTTACACTTGTGATTTTCCTGCTATGATAAGTTACAATGTCTGCCGTGAAAAGGCCAGTGTTGGTAATCATGAGACTCAGCTGCAGGTACAGCATCAGTTTCATATAAATAGGTTAAGGGCAAGACCAAAAGCCAGTTTTTTCTGTGCTTATGAGAGTAGCCAAAATGTGTGTGTGGGTAGTACACAAGGCGAACTGTGAATGGTACAGTTATCTACTGTCCAAACCTGCAGGGGTGGAGCTGCAAAAGGGGAATTAGGCGGGTGAGACACTGAATCCTGTATTACACATGGGTGCAAGCAGAATCACACACAGAAACTCTCTGGTAGAAGCTTGGAAGTCAACCTTTATTGATACTGTTAAAAAAAAAGTCATGTCAACCAACAAGAGAAAATCATATACGTCTTTCATATTTGACTCAGTACTGCTGTTTATATGTGTAAAAAACACTGGTTAACATAATATATCTCATCAAGATTAGGAATGACATTGAGCTCTGACAGCGATAGCTCCTGCAGAAGTTCCCCCCTCAAATACTGATCCTACATCAATGCTGCATTTATACTGAAATTCGTTCTTAGGTGTTACAGAGGTGAACAATATTCGCGCACTGTATAAAAACAAAACCTTTTAAGTCTCATAAACAACAATTAAGTAATTATACTTTGGGTTTCTATCCAAGCGTTCAAATGTGTCATGTGTGTATGTAACAAATGAAATACATCCACTCCTCGTATCTTGTATAGATGGCGTAATTTATAAGTTTCAGCTGAGGCGATGAGATCTGCTTTAGTTGAAAAAAAAAAACGGGGTAAGTCAGACCAAGATGCAGTTTGATGGTGCAGCAAATTACAACGTAATACAGTATAATTGTGTTGTGGGTTTAGGAATCTGTAAACAGCTGACTTTTTTAAGGAAAATCTAATTCCCAGTGGTCTCGCCATAAAAGGTAACATGGCTTAACAAATAGGTATGTAGAAAATGTATGTAAAAAAACCTATGTAAAAGGTGCACTGTGTTTTGAAATGGAGCTATAAAAGCAAAATTGGAGAGGGAGTCAGAGACAGCTAGGTAGCTGTTTTGATCAGAACCTATAGGGGTTGTGGGAAATTTGAGGGTCAAATTTGATGCTAGACATTGCTAGCAAAATTGGATTGTTTTACACATGTCTGATTTGTTCATGGAAACTATACCAATGCATCACAATTCATTTGAGGATTGCGCATACAGCCCTTGATTAAAATGTGTTCTAATTCAAGTCAGATCAAGTTGTTTTCAACGGAAGAAAAGGTTTGTGTGGGTGGTTGGACACATGAGAGAAGCAACGTAGGTGCCTTTCTTTTAGCTTTCAGCTTTAAGGCACTGAGAGCGATTATGAATGCCTGTAGTAACACAACAGTACACAAAATAGCTGAATGACACACATCAAAATGAAAGTGTAAAAAATCAAACAAGATGAAAATTCCAGTAGGCACTGGATATAAAAGGAATACCAGCAAATTTCCCCCTCTTTTCTACACCCTGAAGCCACAATGTCATAGTTCTGTTCTTGTTTATTTTTGGCGGGGAGGTGTCCCCCCCCCTTAGCATGTAGTCACTGCTAACATGTAAACGTCGCTGGCGGCGTCTTTTGGCCTGCTACAAAAGTTTTTTTTGTTTTTTTTAATTTACACAGCATAAAATGTAGCTGGTTCACTTCCTGTTTCAAATGTTTCTCACTGTAGCAGAGGGGTTGAGAAACGCTGGTAAACCTTCTGTGAACTGGCTAGCTGTTGTGTTTCTAAATTCTGCGCACAGTGTCCGTCTTGGCGGTTGGACACCTTGTCAATATTCAAGTACTCTCCTTTATTTCTCTCGGGGAGTAAAATAAATTAGATGCTCTTTGAACTGCCCTGCAGTTGCAATGTGACCGGTGATGATAAAACTGAAGACATAAAAAACACATTGGTATCAAAATACAGTATCAGGATTGTGTATTAAAAAAAAGTGAGGAGAGACGTTAACCTGATTTCTGGTTGCTCGTTTCAATGTCCAAATGCTAACAAAAACAAATACATACTGTAGTTGCCCAGCAGTCTATGTGCGCAGATACCATTAAAAAACAAAAAACAAAAAGACATATCGCTGTATTATAATTTCAACTACATGATAAGGTGTTTAAGGACAAAATCCAAAGCCTCAAAGATATTAACCAATGTAACACTCAAAAACTCATCTTAAACACATATTGTAAAAACATACCTTCCACATAACATCTGTACACGTCCCTGTCACTGAATGGTACCTACACTGGACCACTAAATCATGTAACTGAATCATTTCTGTATTACAGGGCTGGAATTAGTTGGGTTAGCATGTTGTTGGATAGAAGAAACATCACAAGAAGTTGAAGAAAAACACTGAGTACAAGTAACAATGTCCAAATTTTTTTTTAGCAAATCAGCTTAGTTACTCAACACCATTAACAACACAACCAATTGAAATTGCTTTGAAATCTAATTCCCAAAACCTGTGATGCACCACCATAGCAATGGCGGAATAAGCCAATCCATTCTGCTCTGTTTAAACTTAGATTTTCATGTACAACCTACTTTTCAACTTCACTCTTGACAACAATGGCCTAACTCAGTAGTTGATAAAGACAACAAAGAAATTTCATCCATCGCAGTATTCTTCTGTGGACTTCCTGTCCCTACATGCTTTGCTGTCCAGCAACAATCCTCCCTGATCTTACAAACGCCAACACTAACTAAAATATTTCCCCGTATCACCCCAATCGCCCTATGTATGCAACTGAATGTCAAGTCAAACTGTTTGTCAAAATAATCTTTTACTATAATTATTCTAATCTCTTATTTTGTTTTGGGGGCTCCACACTTCACTTTGCATATAAACAGTGAACACAGAGAGCATTGAGGTTGGTAATATTTCACCGATGTATCCTGGTATTATATATAACATTTGTTACCTCCAGAATGTATCATGCTTGGTGTTAGCATGTTTAAATAACTTCCTGCCATCTCACAGTTTCACTTGACATTCTTTCCGATGCGAGAAGAGGAACACAGAATGACTGGGATTCAAAATACTGCTGATCTTTGGCCAATAGCGGGAGTATCTTGGGCAGCGAGGACCACAACCTTCAAACTGAAAGAACTGGTCAGCAGAGCAGAAAGTCTGTGATATCAAAGCGGGTGCGTTGGGACGTGGGAGGGGTTTGTCTGTGTGATTCAGGGTCGAAGGCTGGGCGGGGGACGTGACGGCGGTGCACAAGGAAGCCCCGGGGGTGTGCGAGATGGTGGCGGTCCTGGGGGTATCTGGCCTGACGGGGGTGATCTGGCAGGAGGGCTGGTGGAGGTGGGCGACGAGGAGGCGGTGCGGGTCACAGGGCGGTAGTCCGGTGGCGGGGGCGAGGGTGTGTGGATCGGGGTGCGATGGGGGGCCTTGGCTGCCGCTGACTCGTCTTTCACTCTTGTGAAGTTGATGCATCGACCCTAAAGAGAAGGAAAGAGACAAATAAGATTAAAATTAAGGTAATTAAAGTTTAACTTTAATCTGCAATTGATTTTATTTAGGTTTTGGTGCAACAATATCATGACAACAAGTGCAAACACGCTAAACTATGATGGGGAATGTGGTGAACATTGTACCTGCTGAACGCCAGCATGTCATTGGGACCGTGTTAGCAGTACAGCTTCCACAGATGCTGGCATGACTGTAGACTCATGGTGGTAGTGTGTGTAGTGTTTCAGTGGAAAAGACCACAACAATTCTTGACTCAGTGAAGAATCAAAGAATGTATCTCATGTGTGACATGAAAGTACACCAAAAATGAATATGAACGAGCATGGTATGAGGTGATTACATGGTGTGCAGTTAAACTACAGTGTGTATGCACTATTTAAAAGCAGGGTGGTAATAAAGTAGAACTGGGACAGATTTTGAAAAAGAATTGACATGTCAAGTAAAACTGTACACGCACTCATACTTAGAGGTACAGACACATACACAGGATAACTGTGATGCACATCTGGGTTAAGTCCATCGCCTGCCACTGTTCAAAATTCATTTAGCTGACACTTTTATCCAAAGAGATTACAATTGCTATACATGTCAGAGGTCACACACCTCTGTAGCAACTAGGGGTTAAGTGTCTTGCTCAGGGGCACAATGGTGTATGTCTCACAGTGGGAATTGAACCCACATCTCCCACACCAAAGGCAAGCATCTTATCTATGCACCATCACCACCCCATGTTCTTTGTATCTACTGTTTGTGTGTGTGTCTGTCTGTGTGTGTGTTTGGCCAGCTGGTGTTCCAGATTACATGTAAATCCCCGCTTTGACGCCCCCGCTCCCAATCATGCCGGTAAGTACAATGTTCTTTCCTGAGAACTGTGAGTCGCTTACCAAAGTTCCCTCATACATGACCACATGGAGAAAGAAAAAAAAAAGATAGGGAGGGATTGGGGTTAGTGGCTGGGGCTTGTGTGTGGGTGTGTGTGGGTGAGGGGTAAAAGGTAGCAGCTGAGTTGGAAACAGTTGAAATGTCTAGGTTGACTTATCAGACTGTAAAACAAATTCATTTGGTCTTGCAGAAATCACATTTCACTCCTGAGCTACTCGTAAAATGTTACACTAACCACGAGCTTCACCCGAGTTCACAGAGGTCGCTGTTACTGTAGTAACTCGACCTGCTCCATGGTTGCATGTGGTTAGCAGCCAGAGGGGAGTGAAGTCATGTTAATCTGCAAATAACCAGTATCGGTGATTGGAGCCACAGGACCATGGTTTTACAAAGTGGAAAATGAGGGAACGGGGATTGTTGTCACTACAAAAGCTGCATGGAATGAGTTCAGCTCATTCCATCTTAAAAAACAAACAAAACGCATGCATATAGTGTTGTTCCTCTTCACAAATTTTAAAAAGCTTTTTATTTACTGAAATGTCTATGGAGAAAAAGCACGAATGATCACAGAGAAAAGACCATTTACAAAGAAGGCGGGGCAACATTAAGGACCTGTTGGTATAGAGTAGTGTTTTTTTTACATTTTTTTAGACGAAGCACTGTAGAATTAAACTAAAGTGAGTCAAATTTAGACAAATGGAGACAAAATATTTGGAGATAAAAGCAAAAACTAAACCAGAAGGAAGAATTTTCTATTATGCCACTTTAAACATTTGCCTCTGCCCAGCCATCCACTCTGGTCTGCTACCACTTAGCTGAACATCTCAACATCTACTGCAGACTATTTAAAGCTGTTATATATTATATCTGTACTGGGTGACTAGTTTAATCAAAGTTAAACAGCAAAATTGGGTAAATGAATTAGTGAAACAAGATGCACAAAGGTCATAAAATAATCTAAAACTGCAGATTTTTCCATATATTTTTTAAAACTAACAATAACGACACAGTAAATATTAAAGAAAAAATGTGACATTTGGGGAATACGCTTATTCACTTTTTTGCCGAGAGTTAGAAGGTAAGATTGACCCCACTCCCATGTCTGTCTGCTTAACATGAAGCTACCCCCCAGTAACTGGCTAAATTAGATTAGCACAACAACAGTACCACTAAAGCTCACAAATTATCACATCTATCTTGTTTGTTTAACTTGTACATATTATTAATTAAACAAATGAGATGTAACTAATGAGCCTTAGAAGTGGTAGTAAGGCTAGCTGTCCAATCTTGCTGCTAAGGTAAGCTAACTGGCTGCAGGTGGTGGCTACATGTTTAGCATACAGATATGAGAGAGGTATAGATATTCTTATCTAACTGTTGGCAAGAAAGCATATAGGTGTAGAGGCTTTTCCTTTAAGTATGTAAGCAAGCGAGACCCCAGTGTTGCTGTTAGCTTGTTGAAGTTAATTAAAACAAGCCTTTGTGTATGTGTAGACCTCGTTGAAGGTTTCAAACCAATCTGATCCTGTTTTTTCTTTTTTATCCCAGCTTGGCTTCCTGTACATCGTTCTGTTTGCGCCCAGCTGCGGTTTAAATCTATGAACATTTTCCTGGATTAAAGAAAGCCACACTCGCTCGTTCTTTCTCGCTGACCTCCTACACTGTCTACAGTCTTACCAAGGTCATAAAATTGTCTAGGCCTGGCCTAGTGTGTTAGTGTGTGTGAGACATGGTCGGTCAGTTGGTGGAGACGGCCCTGGCAGTCGTCTGCCTTAGATATTACCTCATGTCCTTAAGCCAGCTAAATGCTTCTCTGGGGAGGCATGTGTTTATGAGAGAGAGAGAGAGAGAGAGAGAGAGAGAGTGTGTGTGTTAAGTGTGGACTAGCTCTGCCTCGTACTGTACACTCTGACGTCAGTGTAATGGATGTGGTTTGGTGACACAAACTCCCATAATGGCTAACTCCTGTCTCAAATGTAGATAACTTCATTCCTGTGAGTTTAACTCTGGTCTATCTGGTGAGTTACAGACGCACACACAGCCACTCTGCTCTACATCCTGCTGCTCAGTGGCCTTCCTTACATGCAGAGGGCTTATTGGATTCATTGAAAGGAGAAAGGAAAAGTGTGTGTGTGTGTGTAGTCAGTACAGTACTTGGACATGCATAAAAAATGCATAATTTCATGTGTATCAGTAGATTGTTCCCTGAGCAGCGCTAGCCCACAGGAGTTGTTTAGAGCAGCAAATGACCTGCATAAAAGTTCACACTGTGTATTAGCTTGTAATGGAAAGGAGAAAATTAGTAATTTATTTTTGGGAAAAGTTTAATTGTAATAAAATACCTGAATGTTTGAGGGCAGGATGGATGCACGTTCACTGTAAGGGCTCACTTTCCCAAACAGATACTGAGGCTCATGACTACACTTTAAAGGACCGTAGCCAGGCCGGCCTCAAAGGTGACATTCAGCTGCTACTGTGGCAATCAGCACAGCGATGACAAACTCACCATGGCAAAAGAATGACCGATGAAGAATCCAGACTGAACTCGGCCAACTTGGCCTCATGTAAAGAGCGAGTGTTCCTATTAATTTGAAAGTCTGCCAGCTTTGGAGTGTGAGACTTTGCTCTAAAAAGGTCTATTATGGGTGGGACCGTGGCAGGATATTGAACATCAAATAGCTTTTCAGCTAACTCTTAAAGAAATGAAAAGGTGTCCAGGGCTTGTTTCCACTCTTTTCTCTTTGAAATTATACACTGCAATGTCTAGAAACGAGCCGGCTCTCTGGCCTGGGAGATGTTTCTGCCGCTTCGTTACAAACCACAAATGACTTGAGGAGGCGACATCATATGAGTGGAAAGACACGAGACACGATTTCTTCTAGAAAATAAGAAATTGCGTCATGCAGAGCTTACATATACAGCCATCGCTATAAGAAATTTGTTGACTAAGGAAATCAAATCCAAAGTTTTATTATCTGACTGCCAGTTAACTTTGGTAAAGATGTAATTGTAAGCTAACTGTGACCTTTTTTTGTCTGTTGTCAGGGAAAGCTGAAAGCAAATCCTGTCTCTGTACCTGTTTGTGGTGCCAAGAAAACACTCTTAAATGTGGAATTCCTGTTACAAAAGATCATTGGAAATTTTCTACTAATCATGCATGATTTTAACAAGCGCTTGGGATGGTGCCTGATCAGCGGGAGAGTCAGCCGTGGGGAGTAGGAAGGATAAGAAAGGGAAGGAAACAACTCATAATAAAAGAAAAGGTGGAGAACAGGTTGGGGGAGTTCAGGAAAAAAGTACTAAGGGAGAAAGTGAGTTGATGAGGAAGAAAAATCTGGGCAAGACAGTATTATTTGATTATAACATTGTAGAATAAGAGCCTACAGTCATGCTTGCAGCTCTGCAAGGTTGTACTTGCTAAAGTTAGCATGCTAACATGGTCATAGTGACAATGCTAACATGCTGTTGTGTATCAGTGATAATGTTTTCCATGTGCGCCATCTTATTTTAGTGTTTTAGTATGCTACTGCAACATCTGCTAATTTGCGGTAAACATATCACTAGTGTGGCTAAAAACCAAGCAGTCTATGGACTATGACGTATTCCTCATTTATCATGTACCAATGATTTACAAAGTTCCTGTTAAGACTAAATGTGTCAGAGGGATTTAAAACATCCCTAGAGAGCTTTCTGGACTCAGTGAACTCCCATCTTCTCTCCACATTCAATAAAAACTCAGCATTTTTTTGACACAAAGGCTCCGGGCATTAAAACTAAACCATGTGGCTGATCAGAAAAGAAGAGGAAATTTTTACCACCTTAGACACACGAACACATCAGCTACAAGGATGTGTCTGGGTGCGAGCTGCGGTTCTGCTTTCTATCCGTTTTATGGCGTCTAATGTGAAGCAGGTGTGAGAGCGAGGCTGGCTCAACAGGATGGAGACGGGCCAACAGAGGTGTTAGCCAGCATAGAAACACCAGGAGTGAATAAGACAGAGGGCCAGATGGAGGAAGGGAGGACGCGATGAGTAATGGGCAAAGATGACTGAAGCATTTTCAGGCTGTAGACACGCTGGAAGACGGGTCAAACCGAGCTAGTTTGAAACCTAATGTTGGGGTTCTGAGCTTTTTTGTCCCTCTGAAGAAATATTCTCACAAATAGTCTGCAAGAAACTGACTTTTAGCTAAACCCCTCCTCTAAACAGCAATTGTCCAATCATAGCATAGCAGGCACTGCAGGCTTGTCATGCTTTGGATGTTTCCACATGGTAAAGCAGTGTGGAAATAAGGAACTGTGGTAAGAGCAATGCTCATCAGTGACAGAGTCTTTTATTTTTAGCCTTACCAAAAACCACACACAAGAGCAAACATGTACAAAATCGGTTAAACAGTGTTTGTCTGGCTAACTAGCTCAGCACCAACCGTAGTAACCTTACCCACCGCCACTTTCAAGGCCACGGAGCATTATTTGCGGGGTTACAGGTTGTGTAACCTTCAACATAGCACATTCACTGTGTGGAAGCTGGTCCTGGATGCTAGCGTTGTGTGAAGGGTAACATTAGTGAGTCAGTCCTGCTCTGGATTTGGGAACCCCAGTAAAACGTATTACCCGAGATTTTGCTTTGTTTGCCACATTGGTTAGTCCTTATCCTAAAAGCCCTTCCTCTAATAGTTTTAAAGGTGAAAACTTTTTAAAAGGTGAAAACTTTTTAAAAGATACGAACAGTACGGCAAAACAATGCTCTTTATTTACTCCCAGCTTTAGCCTCAGTCTGTTAGTATGACAGCATGTATGTAGCCACCAAGTGCATATTTGAGTTCTTGTTTTACAACAAGTCAGCTAGACACATTACAAAGTCAACTGGAGATGGCATTTTCAACCAACTCATAGAGCTAAAGTTAGCTAAATTTACTAGCTAGCTAGCTGTCAGCATTATTCAGCCTGCAAAATTACAGTTTTTCTTTATAAATAAACTTCAACGTTCATATCATCTACCCAGTGAACTCAACAAAATCCGGGAAAAAAAAGATTATAAGAATATCTGGAAAAATATGATAGTTGTGTGAAGAGTGAGGCGAAAGAAAGAAGAGTGTCATACAGCCTTTGCTCACCACAGGTATGAAACACTACAGGAGGGAGGAACTGGAGACGTGAATGTAAGTAGGTGTTGGTAAAAGCATTTGATGAAATGAAATATTTCCATGGTGCACCGCTGAGGTACTCACATGATCTCCAGGCTGGGGTCTCATCAGGGAGACCTGGTCGTACCCGCGGCGAAACAGAGCCCAGATAGCATCCAGTTTACCCTGAACAGGACAGAGGTGAGAGAGATGGTTAACAGCTGGCCACCCAATCTTCTACATTGCAATCCTTGATAATATCCTATTAATAGTGATTCTACTGTATCAGCAAACATTTGGTCTGTGGTCCTCAGCTGTGTTCCTTGAAAGCCAAGCGTCTGCAGGTTTTAATCCCAAACAAACACTACAGCAGCTGATTCTACTGATTACTTCCTTCCTCCCTGGTTGAGGCTGTACTGATGAGTCACTTAGTCATGTTTTGGTTCACGTCTGATTAACTGAAGACACATGACCTTTAAATCGCAGTGAATCATTTTCTCTCTTGCCACTGACAGTGTTAATTTTCACAAATACAACAATCTGCCAAAAAAGGTTTGGCAACAGAGCGGCATTTTACACAGGAAAGAACTGATGATCTCAACAATAACCACTATTCTATTTAGTAGTCATTTAACCTGAGACAGAGCTGCAGGACACAAGTGGTAAACCTAAATGTTGTGCTAAATTGATTAAGAGGGGAATTCTCCTTCATGACATAAGGTGTAAAATGCTGCTGTCACGATGCATTTGACTGGACCAAAAAAGTGCAGACTCCGCAGCCTCGATGGCACACACTTACGAGGAAATAACTCAATATCTTCAACAATTAAGGATATTCAGGTGTAGAAATACAGAACCACAAAGGGACCAGCTACAACCCGACACACACTGACTAGTCAGTGTAAAACTTGACCTTGACCTTTTCCCTACACTGACTGTGATGCACCAACAGTGTAAAGTTTCACTATGAATCACTGCAGTGCTGTTTGTGACCTGTGCCATATTCAGACTACAGCCATTAAAGTAGCAGTGTCTACAGATAACAGGGAGTGCTGCTACTGTATGAAGGGCCAGTGTTGCTACACAGAGCTGTATTGTAGTGTACGATTAAAGTACAAACAACACTGACGCCAAGTCTAATAATGTTAGAGAATTTTGTGCTTATGCAAGTAATTCTACATAAACATGGTTTACATGGAGCTTTATTCCTCCCTGCTGTCTTGTGAAAACTTTGCAACTCCACTCGTGGTGCTTTTCATGTTTTAACTTTAGTTGAAGGAGTTTCAGCTTCTCTGTGGGTTGAGAAAATTCTCCCACCCTCAGTTATTTAATAAACGTACTGGGCAAAAACTCAAAAATGCACAGCGGTCACTTTGTAAACAAGGCAGATTTTTGAGTTTCCTGAAAAACATATTTTGTCAATTAAGTCAACTAAATGCCAACATTGTGGTGCCCCACTGTGTGTTGGTCCTGAGGGAAACTGAGTCTGCGTTTACCCGGATGGGCGTGTACCACTTCCGGTTCTGAGGCGCCTTCTTGTTGTGAGCTTTCTTAGGTTTGGGCTCGAATGGCTCGTACTCCTGCTCTGGCATTTTCACCACAGCGTTCTTTGGCTTCTCCAGCTTAGCCCCCTCCTCGGTCGAGCCTTTCCCTCCCCAACGCACCTGCAGACAGCAGACAAAACATGAATGTACAACAAAATAGATGCAGTGAATCTAACGTCCTCCAGTTTCCATAATTTGTTTTGTCACCTCCATCCTCTTGATCCCTCCGATTCCTCTTCCTCCATAATATGAGGCATCCACAGTGGGCCACTTCTTCTTGGGCAGGCCGTCTTCATCATCTGACTCCTAAAACACAAATAATTACACAGAAACAAACCTTTACCCTCTCCACCTTTACACTTTTTTACATACAGATTCAGAGGCTGTTAGAATGAACTTATTATTGAGCGGAGATCTGTAAATAGTCTATATAACCTTTGATGTGTATGTGTGTTATTGATAATTATAAAAAGAAAGCCATGGAGTTATGAGTTTTCACACTCATTTATCCATACTGTAAGTTATTCTTGCAATATTGATGCGTTTTTGGATTTTTGAGAACCAAGAGCTTCTAGTGAATTACTGAGTGTTTAGTTCATTGTCCATTCTCCATCAGAATTGGTGGGTTAACACGCGTGTGTGTTTTGACTCACGGGCTCAGGAGGAGGTGGAGGAGGTGGTTCTTTGATCACCTGTGGAGGAATAAGAGAGGAGATGATGTTATTCAGCTTTTCACAAACACATTAGTCACATCAGCGCTACACGTCTCAGAGGACCTCTAAAGGGTCTTTAAGTATGCAGTTTAGACAAACCCCTTATGTAGCTCTGAATAGTTATAATTCAAGTGTTGCTTTTAAAAATCGCTTAGCTTAGGTTTCTTACCACAGTGCAGCAGAGAGGCCAGAACCACCACATGAAAAGCAGGGCCAGCAGGAGGAACAACACCAGCAGGGTGATCAGGAGAATGGTGCCATCAAACTGGAAGGAGGACACACATATGACACAAGTCCAGTACTTGTAGTGGTATGATGGATTTTAAAGAAAGCTAAGAAAAATCTTCAGACCGATTTCCTTTCACTGTCAGTTCTGTCACTGTGCATATTCATGTTTTTGTTCTTCTCGATGACAATGGCCTGTGTATGTTATGTGATCCCCCAGTGAATCCATCACTTACTTTGCTCACTTTAGGACAGACGTCCATGAGCCAAATATGGTTCCCATTACAGACCACAGACGAGGATCACATGTGGGTAGCCTTTCCCCTATCTATCTTGCGGCAAAGGCGCGGGGGATTTGTCTGAACTTTGCAGTGGGGCCCGTCGTCACTGCGACCAAACATCAACAAGTTTTCTATAAGCTTCAAACAGCTGACAAGCAGAATCTGTGGAGTAATGGTTTGGCAAATAATGACCAAGATTCCAACAGTGACCACATTTGTGTCTCTTCACGATTATGCATACAAAGTGTATGTTTTTCCCGAGCTATATGGGCATAATTTGTGGACTAACTACAAAAACTAAAACTGCTGGAAGTGGCACTCATTTGGGTAGGGGTCCACAGGGGATTGTGGCGCTTGTTTTCATTCTTGATTTATCCATGGGACTTAGCTTGCATGTTGTTTATTGCACCAGGCATTCCCATCTCAAGTCAGGAACTTATTGTGCCTCCTTAAGCCTGGTGTGACTTCAGCCTATATGGTTTAGTTTAGTGGCTAGAAGCAGCTAATCGCTATGGTATGTCTAATTGAGCTCTGTATATCATGAGCCACAACACAGCCTTTTGAATTCACAGTATTGTCACGGATATGATGTCACATGGCCTGAGGGAGAACAGCTTCAAAGAGCATGTTTCTTTTTGGTCAGATGGGAATCTGCTGTGGCTCTGGTCCATATGCTCCAACATATGCATTTTATTTTCTTAAATTGCTTTAAATTGTCTTAAATTGGATGTTGGTTAATCTTGTTTTTCAGGGAATGAAGCTCCACCCTGCTTCACACTGACACAGTTATATACGTTCACAGTCCTGGGAGCTAAAGGAGTCTTCAACTATCGCTACCGAGGAGCTCCAACCGAGGGGTAAATGCACTTTCACAACCAAAATGTTGCGATTGAACCGGCAGGCGCACGGTCATGAACCTGCTTCTCTAACCGCTTGTCTCCTGCCACACCTCTGGGGTTCAGAAGGTCTTTTTCGGGTAGATCTCTACTGTTAACCCCTGTGGTTCGGCTCCCGAAAAAAATTGAAAAAGGGAAGATGAAAGGGATAAAGGGGATAAGGAAACTCACTGCAGAGAACACAACAACAGACTTCTGGGAAAAGAGATGAGGTTGGAGAGGACAGAAGAAACAGAAGGAAAAGAGTGGAAACCACATGCAGTATAAGAAGAAATAAAAAAGCCTTCAGACTGAGTCTAAGTCTTTTTATTATATTATAAAGCATTCAAGCATTAATGCAGGTTAAATGCATGAGCAATTACTTACACACTCTGTGGTGGTGATGTGCACGTTGCTGCTGATGAAGGACAGGCCGTCATTCATGCTCACTTGGAGATAAATGACCCTGAAATAAAACAAAAAAAACACACACAGGACAAGTAAGTTCTGTATTTTATATTACGATCCACAAAAAGCATCTTTGGAGCAGAGTATTTAGTCTGACGCATTTCCTCCTTGAGCTCTGTTTGTTTGACCAGAATGATGTCATTTGAACTTGGGTTCACACCAAATAACGTCACCAAAGCGCCTGCAAACTGTGAGGTGATTTGTTAGAAGTGAGAATGTATGAAACAGGAAACAACCACAAAACACAAAGGAGTATGAGTTGAAGGAGATTTTCAATCTGAGAACAAAGTGACGTCTAGGCTGATGCTCACATTAAGCTGTTTCTTCTAAGGTTACAGAAACTGGACTCAGATTAGTTGGGACTCCTTGCGGCAGCCAAAATCTCTAACCTGGCAGGAGAACACATTACCAAAACCATGCCCAGTAAACGAGCTTCTTCATGAGTCGCGTGACTTTTGTTTACGAGCCATGTTTCACATGTAAATGAGCAATCTGAACGCAAATGAACCGAATACAAAAGTTTTCCAGTGTGGTTAAAAACCAAACAAACTATAGGTGTGATTGTGTGACCCGCTGAGCCACACAGCAGGCATGGAGGGCAAGGTAGGACAGACGAACTTAAACGAAATGGAAAAAACCCACAACCTGCTAGCTGAAATTTTGTTTTTATTGTTCTGGGCAAGTTGTGTATTTTTCCAAGACATGACACCATCTTAATTGCCCTCTCAGGAATGAGAACAATCTCTGCTCTCTTAAAATACGAACCTACGATCTCTACTTGGTGCTACAAAATAATTTCCTTTATGGAATGTAAAAAAAACAGCAAAGTAAAACTTCTTTCCTCCATTCTCTCTTTGTCATGCTTCTGTAGTCCAAACATCACCCTCCTCTCAGGTCTTTCTTGATGGTCTCAATCCCTTCCTCTGAGTGGAGAAAAACAATTCTGAGAATTTCACATGACCTCCAGTGGCCTCTTTGGAGCCGGTTCTCGTTCAGATCTTCAAAACATGTGGATGAAAGGCATGCATTTTAACACCCCCTCCCTCCTAGTTCTTATTTGGTAGAGGACCAGGTGGATGTGAAGGAGGTCTGGCATATGGAAAGCAGGCCATGTGACCGATAAACCTGTCTTTCCTCTGACTCAGAGAGCTGTCTGTCTGGGTTTTTAAAAAAAAGGAGGGTGGAGAAAAGAGCTGGTCTAGTGGGTGAAGTTTGTGAACAACATCTTATGTACCTTGCTCACAAGACACTAAGGGATTGACTGCAAAACAGTATTAAAGCTAAAGAGATAGATTTGCTGATCTAGTGAGTATTTATCGCAGGTGAATGTGGGATTAAGATGTTCTTTGTAATGAAGGAATATGTCTGGCAATGATTTAGCTCAAAAAATGTTTCATTAGTATTTGGATAACAATTGAGCTCTATGACAATAAGCTATCTCAGGCTCACGAAAGAGGTCACTGAACTTGATCAGTTTGATTTTTATTGATGATTAAATGTAGAGAGAAACTTGAGATGCAGTGTGATACTAAGGCTCCATCCACACTACTCCGTTTTAGTTTGCAAACGGAGAATTAAAACAAATACGATCTCTGTCAACACCAGTGTTTTAGCTGCGTTTTGGAGTTGATCTCCGTCTACATTAAAACGATCAGTATATATACCAGAATACAATGATAAATTTAAATCAGTTTTATGATACGAACAGCTTCTAATCACGCAAAAAACAACTTGAACAGGGTATTAATGCCTGTTTAAACTCTCTCTGAAGGTTTTTCCACCCTGCCGAGACTCGTGCTGCATGCAAACACATGACCACAAACTTGAAAGACCGGGCTAGCTGCTACACAGCTTTGATCAGCCAAAACTGGACAAGGAGACTGTTGAAAGAGACTGAAAGACTGACAGGAGATGAAAGAGGGAGTAAGAGAGACAAATACAAGACAGATACAGAGAGAAAAGTGAACAGACGGGCAGACAGAGTTGGGGTGGGGGCTGGAAAAAAAACAGCGAGGCAATGCAGTTGATGAAAAGAGCCACCGTGGCACCGAAAGAGAAGGCAGAGGTAGAAAGAAAGTGGACGGGAGAAAAGATAAGTGTGGGATTGGAGAGTTGGGGAGTGTTCGGGGATTGGATGGAAAGTTCAAAAGAATTAAGGCAAGAGCAGAAAAAATATACAAAGGCAGAAGTGAAATGACTTAATGGGAAGTTAAAGGGAGGGAAAGGCACACGATGTACTCACAGTTTAACGACCCTTCTGCCAAGGTATTGATTAAAGCCTCGGAGATCGAGTCATCAGTCCAGGTTGTTTAAATCTTTCCCCGCTGCAGTTAAAAACTAACTCTCTCTCTCTCTTTCCACACCACTGCAAGTGCAAATATTAACTGTGCATTGGATTTATAACTTCTATGGGAGAATAAAATGAAGGAATTTGTATTGTGATTATAGAGGTATGCTATCCCCACCACAAACACCATTAAAGGTCAAGACAGTTTGTGAAAAGATAGTCTAACATTGGCTGACAGTTCTCCCCTCTATTTTGTCTCTCCGTGCACTTTAAAGTCTTTAACCACCGTTCACTGAGCCTTCTCATCTGTGGCTTGTTGTACTTTTCTCCCCATAGAGGTTTGTGGATTGTTGATGTTGGAACATGGTTGGGCTTTAAAAAGAGAATATGGCCAGCTGATACAGAGCTACTCTAGCCAAGGCTAGGATTACACCACAAAATTGTGCGACCCTCGTGTGGTGAATGTTTGAGTAGGACAACCTCAGTTGTCTTCACATCCCGCCGCCTCCCTCTTTTCTTTCAGTCAGCCGGAGAGCATTGAAGTGATTGAGTGACTTTAATGAACATGTCAGTTGACCTGATCCTGAATTGACAAACACAATCCACCATAATCAGATCTTCTCCCACTTATCCGAAGCCAGCAGTATAATAACACTAAGGAAAAATGTTTGTTTTCTTGCAGGCAAAATGGTTGTCAAGTCTCATTAAGTGCCGACAATACAAGAATCTGATTTGAATCTCCCTGGAATCACACTCTTGAATGCACAAAGATTCTCCAGAGTCATGCCAAGTAAAGGTACCAAGATGAAACAAAAGTCCAGGTACTTAGGCACAGGGAATGTTTACTTGTACATGGTAATCTGGACATTGTGTTGTATTTAACAATAGTTTTAAACTTCCTTATTTGATTTTTGTTTACAAATTTAGGGCACTGCAACAAGCTTAAGTTGAAAACAGACGCCTCCGGTACCAGGGGCAACCGCACTGTGGGCGAAATTACTAACTTTTTTTCTCACCGTTCAAACCCGCTGATGTTGTTGCTTTGATTATTGCGCAATACCTGCAAGCTGCCTGCCTGCTCTCGACATTTCAAGAGGATACTTGAGAACACACAGTGTTTTTTGCCATTTTGTGGCCGACTCGCTGGAGATACATAGACATGCAGGTACCATGCATGTACCAAATGAAAGGTCTGCTCAAGCTGGATCGATGCCCCCCCCATCACTGTGGGAAGTTCTGTTCTCAATCTACAGGCCTGTAAAGCATGGGTGTGCTTTTGGTGACAGGAATGTTGATGAACACTCACAGTTTTTTTTATCAATATTTCAATATTTTGTCATTTGGAACTTGGTTGTATGGACAGAAAAAGTGTTTTAAATATATCTACAAATAAATTAAAACATTTTAACTGTAAACATTGCCAAAATATGATCATTTGCCTGGTATATTTTGATAATGTTGTATGATAACTGTTGTATTTTAGTTTATTTTCATCAGATTTACAATCTGTTACAATTGCATTCTAGGTGTATTAGAAGATATTCAGTTGCATTATAAGCTTCCTTATGATGGTTTTGATGGTTTATTGCATTAAAATATAGCTTTTTTTCGATCGGGCGAAGATGAAAATAGATTTTTTCTTTAATGCAACCCCATGTAGTCTGTAATAGTAAAATAAATATATTAATATACAATGGATTTATATTCCTTAGCTTCTGACTTTTCAAAGGAGACCAGAATTATGTATCTAGGCCAAATGGTTGAAGAGTTATTCCTGATTCATTTTGGGTATGTTATTTTAGGCGTTTTTTTCTGGAAAAAGGTGCCTGTCCCCAACACAACAATGACATATTATCACATTATAAAGTTTTTTATGGCTGATGTAAGCAGTGAGACTGAACCAAAACAGCATCAGCAAGGTGTGGGCCGTAAAACCATTTCAATCGCCTTAAAGACACTAAAATGAACCAAAGAATGAAGAGACTGGCTGATTATTCTTGATGGATTTGTCACTACAAGCTAAACCTTTTACATTAAACTTGTAATGCACCCTTTCGACTTTTTCAGTCCCGATACCAATACGTAGGCTTTGGGTTTCCACTAATGCAGAGTACTGTTCCGATACCAGTGTAAAATGATTACACTGTAATGCTAACTGTGAGGAAGAGACTGGGAATCATTCTTTTGTGTAAGGCAGCATCAGGCTTGACTGAAGCATTGCTTCCTATGTAAAACAAAATGCCATGTTAGCTCTCTTGAATGATCTGGTCAATCGGCACACTGCTGATTCATCGTTTAGTACGTGTGTAATTAAACTGAAAAGATCAGACCCATAGATCGGCCCCTTGTCACGATACCCGATCCAGCCATTTGAGTCAGTATCGGGCTGATATCTGGTATTGGATCTGTGCATCTACATTAAACATAGTCATTTGAGCAATGGTTAATTTAAAAATATTGATTAGTGCAGCTTTAAAAACAAATTTATGCTGAACTACTGGTCCACTTTTGCTCCGCTGCACTACTACAGGGGAGTTTATCAAAAACCAATTGTCTCCAGTTGTTTTCACTGCTCTGTTCTAATTCAGGACAGAAGCAGGACCAATGCATGAAGGGTTTACCCCTGCATGGGCTGGCACGGCAACAGAGCCGCTTATATTTTGCTAAGCTGTACTGGGGATCTAGAAAAGAGGAATGCAGCCACGGATATGGATCATAAAAATAACTAATGTATGGCAGGCTTATGGTCCGTGCCCATAGACACGTGTATGCATACGTGTTTTTCTCAGTGTTTGAGGCCTCTTAGTGTGAAATATAAGCCCTTTCCCCTTGAGACAGTTAAAAGAGGATCTCTGAGAACAAATGTAATCATAAAATCATAAAAAAGAGGCACCTACTTCCCAACTTCATCGATGACAGGAGCTGGACACAGTAGAAATGTGTCTTCTACGCCGGCCGGCTTTTCATCTAGGAAGCAAAGACAACACTCGGATGAATGTACATTCCTCAACAGTACATTCATCCTCCTCCTCCACAGTCTGAACTATTTAGCTGTGCATTTTTTTCATTCTATCGACTTAGAAGACAAATACTACACAGATATTTATGGATGTTAAAAGCTGATATTTTTAATTTGTTTATCAATGTGTGGAGTTCACAGGTCCGTGCGCTTGGGAAAAGACTGAAAATGACAGAAACAGAGAGGGATATAAACTAGGAATAAAAAGGAAGATGATCGTCCACACTTAGTCATGGTTCTGCTTGAGGTTTCCACTTGATTGTGTCTCTGTTAATATTATTATGAAGAGTACAGTCTAGACCGGCTCTATGAAACGTGCAATGAGATAACTTTTGTTGAAAGTGTGTGTACTTACTGACTGTAATGGTGTCGTTGATTTTGAAGCTGCAGAGCACCTGGTTGATGTTCCTGGCATGGAGAAACCCATTTCCTCTCACCACCACTTGGAAAGACTCTGGTTACACAACACACATTGACATTTCTACTGACACTCTCTGCCAGGCAAAATTAACGTTTTATACTGTATGTATTTTGCATGTTTAAGACTGCACAATTACATTTCACACCCAGCATGGTTAGAAGGGCAGTATTTAAACTCTGAATGACTTCCTCCATTAATTCAGTTTATGTGCCCGTTAGAGGACAATAACATTTGAACTGTGACACCAAAATAAAACTGTACCAACACATCTGGAAATATGGGCCACAGTCCTCAAATCTTAGAACTGTATTGTGGTGAAAAAAATCAAATAGAACAAATAAAACTCTGGATTGGCATGCACAGTCAGCTATTTTTCAAGACATTCCATACATTTATTATTTATATGAAATTACATTAAATATGTATGAATGTATAGTATATGGGTATCTATTGTGTCTATGAACAGTACTTGACAAAAAGGTTACAGTACGTGCATTTATCTACATCTATTTTTCTTTTCCCTATTTTCCTAATATAAATATATCTGTCATCTAACTTATTGTCACTGTTATATAATGTATCTAATATATTTCAAGCAAAAAGACCAAGATACACAGTCCATTATGCTGCTTGTGTTACAGTAAAAGAGAAACACATTAGTTTTGGGCCAAACCTCTAATCTGGCAGGGTATAAGGTTGTCAACTGAACAGGCAAGCTAGTTAGTCATGTGACTTTATAATTTATGAGCCCTAATTTGCTAGTAATTGGGCAGAAGGAATCTAAATAAAGAAAATACAACAAAATCAGCCTTTCTACCCCACAACTGAGCCACTCAGCAGTTATTGTTATAGTTGCAATGTTGCTTGTAACACAGAGAAAACACTCTGCTATAAACGTATGAAGATGAGACTGAACCTGCAGGGCCGACCTGGATAGTGCAGTACACAAAGTCGCAGCAGAACAGTGACTATTATTCATTTTCAAGTGAAATACTTTTCCTCTTCAAGGACGAAAGTAATTCACTGCTTAATAAAAGACAAAAGCAGATGTGAGAAGCAATAAAAAGTCCCTCTGCTTTTGCCATAAGTGTTTAATGAACCCCTGCTTTTATCTGTTCATTTGTGCCTTTTAATGTCCATTTAATGTTGCTTTAACTGTCATAATCTTTCTCTTGGCAGGACACTAAAGGATGTTGTCTACTTTACATTTAAGTTGTAGCCAATGTCACCACTGTCACTCTCTCACGGTCAGACCCTATATATATCCCACTGCGGTACCCTGTCCCAATAGATTTCCTGTAAATGACCTGGATGCCCATTTATGGGCCATTTTTCTGCCTGGGATTGTCATTACTGAGGTGAGAGGCTGGGAGACCGGGCACACAGTAATGAAATTAACACAGTTGAAGAAATGATGGGAGGCTGGCACCGGTGTGGATGACCCAGGAGGGACCCACTTCAGTTTGTGTGTGAGTGTGTGTGAGTGTGTGTTTGTAGCTCCCCACCTCCTGCACACACTGGAGGGCTCGGCTGCCAAAATCTCAATACAGGATTTCTTGATGATCTGGAGGGGAAACATGGAAGAAAAGACAGTGGCCATTTTTTTCTGCACTTCTAGTGATGCTGGCTTGTTTGCAACAGGCAGGTTTGTGAATTTTTACTGTTAAAAGAGTCGAGAGCTCAATATAAAATTCTGTAGGGATCTTTAAGAATGATGTTCTTTCGTTAATCATACTGTCACATTGTGCCTCTCACTTTTGAAAACATTCTGCTTCTTGTGATGCTTATTTTGAATACTATGGTCACATTAGTCAAGGCACCAGGGGTGTGGAGATGAGAAAAGGGGGTTTGAACTTCTCACTCAAGTTACTTTTCATGTGCTACAACTGCTACAAACATTTTACATGAACTAGTCCTTTTCTAGCATGACCGTTTGCTAAAACCCCTCTCCTAATCAGCAACAGTCAATCCATAGCTTAGCAACTGTATCTAAAGCACAGTAGACCAAGCTTTGACATGCTTTCTCCACATCCCAAAGCGTTATGCAAGGGGCTGTAGTAAAAGTGATACTACGTATAAAGAATTAAGTGGGTGTTCTACCAAAAACACAAGAGCAGAAGTTTAAGTAACTGATTAAACGCCACAGGGGTTCAATGGCTGGGTTTCCCTACCAGCCAGCCAGAAGTGAAGAAGTCTCTTGGATGAGAGATGAAACCTCTCTGAGTGTCTACCAAGTCCAGTTGCCCTTGATTTGAACCTTCCTTCGATGATTCATTAAACTGTGTTTTTCTCTGCTCTCAACATAAGCTGCGATCATTAGCATGGCTAACTAGCTTACTACCTACAGTATTAACTGAGAATTACTTCCGAGGTCAAGGAGCACTTTAGCAACTACCAACATTCTCCCAAGGTTACTTGTTTGAAACTACAAACAACCTAAGCTGAGTGATTTGGAAACAGCGCTTTCAACCAGCTCATGGAGCCTTGTGTAACGAGACCTGACGATGCTCAAAAACAAGATGAGAAGATTTTTAGCACTATTTTGAAGAAATATGAAACGTTAAAATATGGGGTTCCTCCCCAAGAAGATTTTGAGCATTAAATACTTAATTTCCTGCATTCTGGAAACATTTTCTGCTCCAATTTAGGGTGGAAATGTCTTCCTTTATAAAAAGTGGAACAAAAAATTCAGCTGGGAGATGACAAATCATAAATAGAAAAAAATAACAGATGATAATGCAGTAAACAGCAGTCTGTTGCACAATGCACGTTTCTTCTATATTTACTTGCTTTGCATGTTTTCTTATTGTGCAAATAAACCTTTCTCAAAGCATTTTCGTTTCTTAGTTAACATCTCTTGCTATTTTTCAGAACATTTTTAACAGATACTTTCAAAAAGTGAGGGGGACAAAATCAGCCATTTCAAAATGTGGTGGGGACATGTCCCCAGCGTCCCCAGTTAAGGCTTAAAAATCTAGCTAGGTACAGCTGCTAAAATCTGCCCGCGACAGTTGTCATTTCAGCTGTCAAAATAAATGGTTGCCAGCGTGAAATAAGAAGCCTACTTTTGTCTATGTCTAACAATTTCGAGTGTTACATCTGTAACGTTATCGATGCAACTCTGTATGTGTTGTGCAAGGATTATATGAGAGAAAAAGATTAACCACATCACTCTAACAAATAAACAGGGAAACTGATGAAAATATTAGCGTCTCTTGTGAGAAACACAAGATGAAGTGTGCTTACCCTGTTTGTACTGTACTCATGATACATGAATGTGTTCCATTAGCCCAGTATGCCTACACACAGAGACAGTTCTGCCTGCCATGTATGAAAAATACTGTCTGTCTGAGTTGAATCTTCCACCAAAACTTTGACAGTGGGCTGTACAGTAAACCAAGACACTTTTTATCTCTTGCATTGTGAAAAGCAATGTAGATGTGACTGGATTGAAAGGTTGATGAGGAACAAGGTGGGACGTAAGTTCTAAAATATACTCCTGTTACAGTAATTGAGTGAGTTTTCTGTGTATTTATACTTTGAGTGTTTTCTAAAGGTAGCTCTGACACCCAAAAGGGAGTGATAAAAGGTGATTGAGCTAATGCAGGACAGATTCTAGATAAATATATGAATGTGGGCGTCAGCACGGCCTGTTTGTGAGCTTCATCTCCGGGAATGCTTCCCTGCACAGAGAGGAGTTTATTTACCGAATCAATGACTCCCCGGAGGGCGTGGAAGCCGCCCAACACAGGAAACACATGCTCGATGGTATCTGCAATGGTGGCCAGCTATAGGGGGAGACAGAGGTGTTGGTTATTATTGACTAAATTAAAAAATAAGTATTTCACAAAATGATTAATAAACAATTTACTGGATAAATTATTTTTCTGCAACTGTGGTTAGAGAGACACCTCCAACATTCAGAGGTCACATCTGGTTACTAAAGGTTACTAAAAGAGAGAGAGAGAGAGAGAGCAATATCTTTAGGTCTCAGATATCTTATACTAATGACGTGGCCTGCCTTGATGAAACTACAATGTTCTGAAGATGGACTACGTTGCGCCCCGTGTTGTTTTAATGCAGGCCATCTAAAGGTGGACAACAAGGTGGAATATATTACTTCATAATCAAGATAGCAAAAAGGCATAGCAGAAAGGGTTGTCACATTGAGAATGCTTGCTCACACTCACCCTCCTCATATTATTCATATTCATCAACATGAATCTGAATTGTATGTAAACAGTGTTTCCCACAGAATGACAGTGTAACTGTGGCGAGAGAGAGGGGGGGAGCTAGCAGAAGAGGCTGCTGAGTGAATAGCCTAGTATTCTATATGTGCTGCCTGCAGCTCTGTGATCAAATACAATTTTACACATAACCTAGTAAAAAAACCCAACAAGAATCGACAATGTGGCGGTCAGCGTTGATAATGTGATCAACACTGACTGCAGCTTGATCATTGCCTTTATAAAGGTAAGGGTGACAGCATCTGTGACTGAAGTAAAATGAATTAATGATATTGCTGAAGGCTGGCAATACATACATGCTGCAACATTGTCCTCACTCATTTTACAAGAATAGTAAACAGCTTGCATAGTCTCAGTTACTGTTGACAGTTCAAGACATGTGCATATTAGCGAGTTACAACATAAGAGAGAAAAGGCTTAATAGACAATGGTAACTTGATCAAAATCCTTTATCCGTTATGGTCGGTGATTTCTTTTTTTTTATTGTAGAAAATTCTAATACAACACTTTATAGCTTATTTCAACAATCTGAAACATAGAACGGTGTTGAAACAGTATTAGATTACAGCAAAGCCAAAAGAAAACAAACCAAAAGAAAGAAGGAAATTGTGAGTCTTATTCAAGAATCATAATGTGCGTCTGTAGTGCAAGAATTTTGCTAAATGTGGTCAATGGATTTTATCTTTGAGTTTGAGAACGTGCGTGGCTATGTGTAAATGTTGCCGCTGCAAGGAACTGTGGGACGGCATTCTCTCCTTTCCTTTCGTAAAGGATGGTCTTATGTACTCTATGCTAAAGGAGATATGAAAGGAAGCATTGAGGCACCTTTCCTTAGCTTTTAGAGAATTCGACCAGCTCTTGTCATGGCTGCCGCTGAAATACTTCTGGTTCACTTCACTCAGTTAGGAACCTTCCTAAGCAAAAAATTATTTCGGACACAGCCCAGGCTGCTGTCTGAATGAATGGGGAGAGAGCCTAGAACTGCACTTTCACTGGTCACCGGAACATATAAACTACATGAATAGAATCAGCAATAAAATCTGATAAAAACTGCTGAAAAAGTTTGACGACTTCGCCTCAAAATAAGGTTTAAAAAGCATTTTTCCCAACCGGTTATACTTCTACCACGCATGCGCAGTAGGCCCCTTACGTCAATGGAAACTCCATCCTTGGCTGTTAAAAGAAGAGGATTGGCTTTCTAGTGGCCTTACGGGTTTTCCCTACAGAGTTATACTGAGGATTCTTAAAGTGTATATCTTCTCTGTATAACTTCTCTGGTATTAGCCAAGATATAAAAATTTGCAGTCCAGCTTTGTGTGTTGGCGTCTGCAGCGGCCTAAGAGGCAGCTCAGGGTTAAAAATCACTCGGATTAGCTTTCAGGAAGTTTTAAATTATGGGTTGGCCAAATTGCACAGGGGCCACTGAAAACACACTGTGCAACACAGAGGTAACAGCATTTTGGATGTTTCCACAACTCTGGATTCCTGAGCACATGTGGTATAGAGTACACACACAGTAAACTGAAAGTGGCCTGTAAATTGAAAGGCAATTACAATGAAGTTGAGTGAATTTTACTTCAAAAATGTATGGAATATAGATGTTGAAATGCTTTACATGCAGCACACATTTATTGCATTGGCATAGGTGTTACCTGTGTCTCATTGAAGTCTTTGACGCCAACACAGTACACAATGGCTCCAAGAGACCTGGCCCTCTCCGCCTGTCGAAGAAAGAGGGAATAAATCTATTACTTCCAGAAAACCGGCACTCTAAGCAATGTGAGTATTTTTGCCACCAGATGAGCCCTGTTACTAAAGCGTTTTTTTGAGTTGCTACCTCTTGCTGTGCAGTAATAAGCTGATTTTCCTGCAGCTCTCCGTCTGTCAGTGCAATAATCACGCTGGCTGTGCCTGGAAGAAACGTACAGACATGCTATATAACACCAACGTAATTCATAACTTAGCCTGAAGTAAGTTTTCATGCGAATGAGTTATTTGATGCTTACCAAAGTTCTCCTGGTGTATCTGCTCGTTTGCCTTCAAATGGGAAGACATTTTTGTTCAATTAACATTGAGCTTTGCTAAAAAAAGTTTGATACAAATTGCATTAAAAAAGCATTATGACAAAGGCTTACCCTCTGCAATCCAAGGTGCATGAATGTGTCTCCACCAGGAATCTCTCTTTTCAGAGCGTTCAGCCCCTTTCTGATGTCCACTCTGCAGAGAAGAAAGATAGCTGAGTTGGTTTTGGATGAGGATGCATGTAAACTGCAGTTACCTGTCTTTTTCAAGGGTGTAGATGTCTCTAACCTCTCCCTTTCCTAAAATTTTCACCTGACTCTGTTCATTTCATTCCCTGGAGCTCTCATGCTGACTGGAGACCTCTCTGGAAACCAAGTTGCCTCAACTCTCTCACACAAAACAACAGTGAGTTTTACGCAACAGTTAAATGGTGACACAAGCCAATTTTCAACTTCACATGAGTCCAGAGAGCATCTGCTTTTACTCTGGTGTAATAGTTTTGAGTTTACTTTACGGCTGATGGCTTCTCTTGCTAGAAAAACATGCACTTCTAACACAGATTCATCTTAAGGTTGGTCAGTTGCAGTTCATTATATTAAAGGGTCACATGAAATAATTACATTAATCAACAGACTGCATCCACTATGACTTCATTTACCTGTTTTCCGTCAGTTTCATGATGGTGGATGCTCTGGAGGAGAATGTTATGAAGGACATCCTCAGCATGGGACTAGAACAGAAAAAACAATCCATTATCACACCTGTCATTCAGCAGCCCACACTGTTCACCAGTTTGATTTGAAGATTGGGAAGTACTAAAATCCCCACAGAAACACAGAGTTTCTGATGATATGTGCCAAAGACTGATGGTAACTGCCAATGACAAAATTTAACAGCTTTTGGCTGCTGGTTGGTGATTTCCCACCTTGCCCAACACTTAGTGATACAAACATTTCCACATCATCTGAGGTTAATCAAAAGCATCAGCTATACAAAAAGAGACATTTGTTTTCCTCAGAAGCATAAAATAAATGGCAGTTAAAATGAACAATGAACAAATATCTTCACTTCCTTTGTGATCACTCCAACATGCCTGTGTATAAATTAAAAGTGGCACCGTGCATGGATGTATGAAACCTCTGTGCGTGACAGTGATTTAAACATTGGTATTCAAGCTATGTCACTGACTCCTCAGATGTGAAAAAGTTTGTTACTTTTGTTTATTGGTTAAAATTTATATTTAGAAAGGCGTTACATACACATACATGCACGGCGATCTGAAGAGAGAAAAAAAGTGTTTATTGTTTGTGAGAGAAAGTAAGTTCATGGAGATTTGAGCTGTTTGAAACTTTCTCATGTTTGTTTAAAACAGAAACTTTGAGGGTCAGCTCTTTGCTGTGGCTGAACCACGAAGCTCCAGGTGTTGTTGTGGCCTACAAGCAATAAGGACAAAACAAAACCACCCACGAGCTGAAGACCGTTTGTTGAAATGTCACATTTTACACTGCATTTTTACAGCTCTGGAGTAAAATATAGTTCATATTTTAGCCACAAGAGAGCTTACAGAATAAGTGGAGGACGGCACTCTAAATGACTACCACTGACATGACATAAAAGGGATAAATGAAAATGTCCACATCTTACTGTCACACTAGTTTGTATCTGTGTGACACTGGTACAATGACATTCTGACAACTTATACAGTGTTATGTGTATATACTAGCAGATGTTTTATTAAAAAAACAGCTGTTTGAATTTATGTTAATATTCATAGCAAAGAATGGTTTGCAACCAATCCAACTTATTAAGCTATTGTTCCACCTTGACGGGGCAATCAAGTGACAAGTGGACCATCCCGTTTATGTATCACAAACATAGATAACAGATAACAACATGAACCGTTAGGACATGAGTTTTCGATCACATAAAGAGGCTCAATTGACGAATACACTTTACAGTCTGATGTTCAATTAGGGGCAGTTATGCTGCTGGGGGACTGCAAGATCCTATTAGTTTTATAATTTCAAGCCCTGTATAATGTTCCTCTAATGGCTATATGGGCCTATTCTACTTATAACATTGCCATACATTTGTCCTAGTAACTCACGCTTTTGTAACTAGTGACTTTATTTAACTCTATTGAACAGAATGCAATACATGATTGTTTTCCAACTCAGATCAAAGTTTTAGACAAGGAGCTCAATGGAGCTTTCTATCATTTGCACTCATTATAATATGATTTTAGATTAGATTAGAGTAACATTTCGGGGAAAAGATCTGAGTTGAGATGGTGCAGTGTTTTTTGAAGGTGGTGGATTTTGTAGGCCTTGCCCATTGAGAGCATCCATCATTCTGTGCCCTCCTCTAAGTCTCAAGAGGCTGTAAATCCCAGGCTATCCGACACATCCAGGCTTTCCAGCCTGTAGTCACTGCTGGAAACTCACTTACACCACTGGCATCAGCTCAGCTACTGCAGAGACAGAGTGAAACATCAACCTGGATGCTGAGTGACTTAGCATATGGCCAGCTGTAGCTGTAGGGACAGATTTTATTTTACTTTACCAGTGTGACTGCTGCTTAAAGTGTGCGTTTCTCTGATGATCTACATCTCGGGGCTCCAGGAAGTCGAGTACAGAGGCAACAAGGTTGTTTAGTAACTAGAGACTTAAAGTCCAGTTATGAAACGTTTCCAAACCTTTTAAGTGTTACAATATACTGTCCACCTATGTAGATCCACTTACCTTTTGAATTTCTCTGCTAGATTCTCCACAAAGTAGTAGATTTCCTCCCAGTGATTCTTCACACTGCCGGACCTAAGACAAGGAAAAAGAGAAGACCACTCAAATAAACAGCACTCATGTCTAAGAAATTAAACTTCAAAGTATACACACACCAACATTAAATTATGAGTTTACAGCAGTCATGAATTAACATACAGAAAATTGAAAAGCTTTCCTCAAAGAACACTAAGAACAGGATGAAACAAGAAATATCCTCAATAATTCCTGTATGTGTCTTTGAGTTACAAATGGTTTGTTCAGCAAGAAATACCTTAAGCTATCTGTCAGACACACACTATCCTCCATATGGTATAGCAGTCAAACAAGAAAAATACAGCTTTGTTTTGTTAGCCAAAAAAAGGCAGGGTGTAAAAGCATTAGCTCCACAACATGAAAAACAAGCTGTATTCTGGACAACTTTAACTTTTAACAGTAACTTTACTGTCTGTCGCAATTATTTGTAACAAAAAGTATTGTTTGTTGTTTATTTAATCGTAGGAATATTGTTTTTATTCCATTGTTGCTATCAATAGCTACCCTGCTGTTTAGCTGTTTAGCTAGCAACAGATTAGATACTATATCCTTTTTTTCTGTTACTGAAGGATATTATGCTGCATTCACGCCAAGTCATAATGTGGAAACAACATGTTATGTATGTGATGTTCCTATCTAAGTATGCTGAAATAATTTGAAGCTTAGTGATTTTGTCCAAGATTTGTTGCTGAACTAGTAGGCTACATTCCCTAAAACTACTAAAATGTTGCTTTACCTGACATGTTATCAGGGTTAATGCTTATAAAGAACTAATATAGGTCTTTTGTCCGCCATATTTCTGTGTAATATGACATGTATAATTTGGCAAGTCGTGTGACACAACTTCGGGAACAGTCGGGAACTCGTTTTTCCACTTGTTCTGACACCACATGAATGCAATGTAAAACCTAAATTTCATAAAGAACATGGACCATCCTTTTTAAGTATCACAAACACCATTGGGGGAATAACTTAAATCGATTAGCCAATGCAATACCTTAGGGGCCAGTGAGTGTACTCTTGAGATAAAAGAGGTTGGTGGCTTGGTCTGGTGTGTAATTTAGCACCCTCCTGTATCCTGAATGAGCCCCTGAAGGCTGAGGAAATAGGTACTTTTCTCCCTAGGGGAATGTCCATAAAACTGGACTCTTATTAAAAATTTCCTCTGGGGAGATTTTGTGTGTGAGTGTGTCTCTGTGTGTGTTTGTGGCAATTTTATTAAGTGTATTTATAAAGGAAGCGGGCTTCCGGCATGATGTGACCCGTCAGCAGGTCACCCGTTAGCTAACGAGCGAGCCAGAGAGATGACACATGGGAAATGAGCTAATTGACTGTGGTAAAACTGGAGGATGAAGTTTACTTAGAATAAAGTGCAAGGCTGACTGAATGTTATTTTAGGTGCTGACTAACTGATGTAACGGCCTTAGACACACAGGAACTAGCCAGCACTGATGTGTTGCTCTTTCTCTGTTTTGGGCAGAAGGTCAACACCAATTTTTATCCACAGGGATTAATCGGATTTACATGCAGGACGTCCACTGAGATGTCTCCGTGATATCAGAACATACAAATGTGACTTTTTAGGTCTATACCTTTATTTTAGCACTTAAATGAGTGTCATACATTCAGAAATTAAGAAGGGAGTTCAACTCATAATGCAGGAGGCAACAATGGGCCTTGAAATTTAAATCAGCGTATAAGGGAGTTCATGGGAACAAGACTAAACACTGACTCTGTTATCCTAGCTTACCTTTTAGTTGTTCACAGCACACTCAAATACTTTTGGAGAATCACGTCTAGACATAATAAACAGAATGGACTCTTTCTTGCATATGGTCTTTTCAAGCTGATGAGAAAACATTTGTTCAGTAAATGAGATTACTACCAACAAAGTTGATTTTCTGTGTAATGCGTTTTGATTCCTTTGATATTTGAAGATACAGGAACCATCAAAGTCTTAGTCTTGTGACCTGCTTTGGAAAAATAACACCAGCCACATGGCCAAAAACTTAAAATGAATATGAGTTGTGACTAATGTTATTTGCCACAAGGTTTTACCCTATGGTGTTTTTGTGTTATTGCTTGGCAGTGGAGGGGTAATTCGTGGGCCATGTTGGGGGGTAGACAGAGCCAGAGAATACCAGGGACTTTCCCGTCATGCCTCAGTCATTTAAGGCTCCTTATCCTGCCAACAAGACTCAAAATGCTCTTTCTGGTAGACCGGACAATGTGAGAAGAATATTGTGTGTCCGTATTCTTCAAATCCTCAATTTTCCACTTTAAAGTGGCAACAAGAAAGCTTCTGACTGTCGCATAGCTCATTTAATATGTGCAAGAAGTTGACAAGAGTTGTTGCTCAGCGATCGCTTTTGCAGATGGAGAACTTCTTGGCCTTTGAAACAGCTACAAACATTTCAAGGAGAATCAGAATGAGCAACAGTAGCCAAAGTGAGAGCCAGTTCATACTCTTCATCAACTTAAAATCCAGATTGAATCCTCAGAAAAAGTTGAGCTGCTATAAAGGAAAGCAACTTTCTGAGTAAAAACACCAAGAATGTTGCAGAGTAGAGCACTGCACCTCTGCCAAAGTTCAGGTTTGGGTTCCCATGGGCCACCCATTCGGAGGATTTCTAGACCCTTACTCCAAATACAATAAAAGCATCCACAATAACATGTTATGTAAGTTCCAGCTCGTCTAGTCTTAACAGCTACAAATGAAAAATCCTACCTAAGCATATTCTCAGTGTTGCTGTTGATCTGGTGACATGACGTGTTCCACCACATCAAGGCTTTACAGCTTTACATTCCTGTGAGGGAAACTGACTGAGCAAAAAAAGAGGACAAGACCTTACAAGCTAAACAAAATCCTCCAAAAATATAAAAGCTTGAGGTGGAGGAGGAGAGGTGTTTTACTTGGATGTTCAACAAAATGTGCAGCGCAAACAGAAATAGTCACACAAGGATTGCATACACACACACACACACACACGCACACACACACACACACACACACACACACACACACACACACACACACACACACACACAGACACACACACAGACAGCCTCTGATCTGAAGGAACTGCAGGAGCCAATTTTTTTTGTAAATCGTTCCATTACAGCAACAGACAAAGGGGTAAAAACTGGTGAAACTTTCCTGCAGCTAACAGTCATGTAGAGGTGTGGGGATATTTTTTCTGAGTATTTGTTTAACATCAGGGTGAAGCTGAGGACTCCCACCTTTGGTTTTCAACTGCTTATCTTTATTTCTGAGCCGCAATAGCTCATGTTTGACTTGGAACAGTTCAATTGTCTGAGGTGGCTGCAGTCGTGGGACCGAGGCCTAGCTTGCAGTTTCACTCACCTGTCCAAACAACATTGGGAAAGGAAGTGGGCCATTTCATTCTATGATTCTTGATGAAACCATTTTATGCAGTGCCTTTTCTCCCTTCAATGCTTTGATCTGATTTTAGTGGAGTTGTGCTGTAAATTTCAGCGGTTTGGGGTCTGGACACAGAAAACAATAGATTTCAAGAGGCGAGGGGCGCTACCATTTGCAGACAAAGTGATAAAGCCCAACAGCAGTTTGAAGTTATGTCACAGCAAATCGTCAAAGCTGAGTGACAGTGTTTTTTCGATTGGACAGATTGTCTGGGCAAAATGAAGAGCATATGTCTGGCCTCACGCCATTTGAGGGCTCAGAGAAAAAGAAACAAAGGGAAAGAAGGAAGGAAAGAAGGAAGGAAAGAACAAGGGAACGATGAAGAGCATTATCAATGAGATTACAGTAAATTCAGCCGAGTGGGAGTGAGATCATGTGAAAAAACCGTTGGCTTGGTCGCAAATTTGTCTGCCAGAGGAAACATGCAGATGATTTGATGAAAACTTGTGAGCTGTGAGGCCAAGATTCTGTTTGACCTGCTTCAGTATGCTTCAGCCAACACAGCTGGCAAACACATCAAAACTGCCTGAAGCACCAACACCAACAGACAACCAAAGCAAGGCGTAAATATGATAAATCAATGAGCATTTAAAATTGATCAGTGTTACTGCTAATGTTCCAGTGTTGCCAAACGGTTAGTTTGCGGCTGTTGGCCAGATTCCAAATTCATTAAATTTTGAATTAGCCATTAAAAACAACATTATAAGCCATTTAAAAACAAATCAAAAACCAGGCAGACAAAACATAAAGAATAATTGTAGCGTGAAAAATACAGAGGAGATAATAAAAGCAGGCACTTACAACATAGCAATGTATGATGTTATGTTACAAGGACAAAGGTTGTACAGTAACAGATAAATCTGGAAGATGACACACTGCTGTCCTCAGCGTTTTTGTGAATAATGGAGTTCTAAGTGGGGGAGTTTGTACATTAATCAGGTTTCATGGGAAAATTCTTTCAGCTAAAAATGTTACATCTTCATGCTCATGGAGTATGCTACAATATTGGAAGCTTTTAGGTTTGCTGTCCAGGATCATAAGGGCTTGTTTATTGACTGGGTTCTACTGTTTCATCAGTAGCAAGAGACTGGTTATAGTTAAAGACTTTAAACCCAAGGACAGGAAATAAACAAAGGAAAAAACATTGCATGACTGTAGGGTGAGCAGGATGTCCTCTACAGTCTGAACTCAGTGACTCCTGCTCTGAAGAAGAGAACTACAATAATAGCTACAATATTAACTACAGTTAACATCTAAAACGCTAGGGTGCCCGTGTGTCTTGGGGGTTTTAAGGTGCTGACCATTCTTCATCTCTCACCACCTAATTTCCTGTTATCTCTCTACTGACAGCTCTCAAATAAGGGAACAAAATGCCTCTCCCCCCAATACTTACATCATTCCAACATTAAATGTGGTGATCTACTGTTTCCAACTAGCTGTGGACACAAAGGGAGGCAATACGCATCGTTACTGTTCAGTGATGCTGAACAGACCGTGTCAGGGGAAGAAAGGAATTTGCTAGATGTCCCGCAAGAGTCTGAGAAGACCTGAAGAATAA